GTCCACCCGAAGAAGAACATTCTACCTCATCTTTAGTCAATCAAGAAAGAACGGCCTTCTCACTGTTTTTACCGATTAGATGACCGAAAAGGAGCTAATGGGATTGCATCAGTCCGTGGTAAGTTCAAACTCCAGAATTCGGGTTATCGGGGTAAACTTTGTTTGATTGACGGAAAACGAAGTTAAGTTTGAGTTAGCGGGGATTTCGAGTAATCAGATTAAAGGGAACTTTATGGTATCAATTTTGATTTACCATAACACTTAGAGTAACAAGTCATAACTCTGCTTTACATTTAAATTAAATTATACTGGTCAGGGATCTCAGCAAGCTCTCTTGAATTTTTTCCAGGAAGATCCCCTAGATGTACGTAACTGTTTACAGATAACAGTTGGGTTTTTATCATATAGGTAACTGAGAACAAATCCAAGTAAAAATGACTGAAAAGGGGGTTCAAATCCAGTGGCAGATCCAGGGGAGGGGCCAGGGGGGCCTGGGCCCCCCGTATTTTTAGACCAAACTGATGCCCGAAGGGCCGAAGAAAATTTTTTTTTTAAACCGCCTCCCCCCTCCCCCCCCCTCTTATGTCACGGTCTGGATGACCGGGCCCTCGCTTTATCTGAAGGTCTGGATCCACCGCTGAAATCATGGGAAGTAGGACTTAAGTACGAGTTAGTGGGGGAGTTCGAGTTACAGGGATTCTACTGTAGTATAGCCTGGGCTCACTGAAAAATATCAGATCAGACGTTTTTCTAAGATCGCCTGGTTTCGGCTCCTGAAATAACGGAAAGCGTCTACCTCCCTCCATTCTTGCTTCCCGTTTTTGAGTCCGATTTTGAAGGTATTATTGCAATATATTCCCTGTAATCAAAACGTCATTTGTGTTTTTAGGTTTCAATTTTCCAGGGAGAACTATAAAAACATGCGAAATGACACGGTCCGTACCGACGATCCTGAACGTTATACAGCCAATCAGAGTGTTCCTTTAGGCCCTTTGCAGCTAATCATTCCAGTGTTACAAAAACGCCATACTGGAAGGTAAGGAAAGGAATGGCCATTTTATGATGTAAGTCTTTTTGCACTCCTCTCTCCACAGATTTTCGGGAAATGTGCAGGTGGTGTAAAAGAAAAAAAAAAAAAAAATTATTTCTTCTTTTTCTTTTTTTTTTTTAATTTTTATATTTAAAATAAATACACCGGAAGAGGGGGGGGGGGGGGGGGAAGGGGGGGGGGGGGGGGGGGGGGGGGGGGGGCGGCGGCGGTCATCCAGACCCTTAGATAAGGTGGGGTGGGCGGTCTCCAAAAATGTTTTCAGCCCTTCGGGCCTCAGTCAGTGCTCTAAAAATAAAGGGACGCAGGGTCCCCCAGGTCCCTCCCCTGGATCCGCCACTGTACCCAGTGGGAGCCTCTAAGGAGGAGAGAGAGCCTCTTATGTACCCTTTATTTGCGCAGTAACGATGCGCATTATACGAATTTAAGCGGTCGGGGAGTTTGTTTGCACCTCCGGATTTAAAGGCTTCATTGAAATGTTAATCCCCTGCTATCTGACACGAAGGTCAAGGTTGTTTCTTATAACTAAAAGTAAAACGTGACTTTTTGTTTTCTTCGGTATTCAGGACTGCACGACTCAGAAATCTGTATAACTCATCTTCGTTTAAGCACAGTCTTTCCAATCAAAAATACTCTTTTATACTTATTCATTTACTATGCCGAGGAACAATTAAGTCAAACAAATGAAGCAACTTTTCTAAATCTTTTGGAGATACTATTTTTTGGATTATTGGCGGATTTAAGCGCTGTATACTTTGGATACTTACCAGCCGTTTTGTTTCCTTTTGAAGACCTGATCTCATCTCTCATTTCGCTTAATTCTTTCAGTACTCGATGGAGAAGTGCTTCTACTTTCTTGTCGGTCAATCCTGTGTTGAAATGACTGTTGTAGTAGGTGTTATATACAGGACACTTGGAATCAGCGTTAGGGCGCCGGACTGCCGAGTTGTTTGGTATCACGCTTGAATTGGTGACGCTTAACAAATGCGTCAGAAACAGCAGACTCAAAGGTAAACGGCAGTAAGCCATGTTCAACTTGTTCCTTTTCCCTAGATGCTCAGATTTGAGCAGACGAGGAATTTCTCGCTTTATTAGTAAATACGGTTTTCGCAGAGGTGCATGCTGGGTATGCTGCATGTGAAATTTGTTCGAACCGGTGTTACTGTGATGTGGGTATCCCCACGTTTTGGGCATACCCATATCCAAAACCCTAGTGATATGGGCATACCCTATAACCCTGACCCTAACCCTAACCCAAATCGCTAAGGTAATATGAGAAGAGGGTGCCCGTGGGAATGGGGATGGCCAAAACGCGGGGATGCCCATGTCAACGTAACAGCGAAAGGAAAGCTCAGACCCTGGGACACCAACCTCGTCTCCCGGGTCTTGGAAAACGAGAAGACCCTAGGGACGAGGTTGAATTTGATCGGCTCTTACGACTTAAACCTTCAAATCAAGCTCTTCTTCATCCTCGGAGACCCAGCGGCAGTTAGTCGGGTCGATAAAATGTTCGTGGTGAAAGCTTACTGTAAGATCGAGACGAATCACCACGAAGATTCTATCGACCCGACTAACTGCCCCTGGGGTCTCCGAGGATGGCTCTTCTCTCTCTTGTTTAAATTCAAAATATAGTGTTCAGAATGTTTCCTATCTATATTTTAGGCTGAAATGTAGAATAATTATTTTACAATTCAAAAGGTGAATGAAAAAAACTGCAAGGATTTTTGATCGCCTGTCTAAGGTATAATAGGACATCTTCGAAATGGTGTCATCATATAACTGAATGTTAAAACAACATAAAAGCAGAATTCAATTCATTCTTTCATGGTAATAACACTGCAACTACCCGAATAGTGGTTCTTGGAAAAAGATTATCCAATCACAACGCTTTTTCAAAACAAGGTTTCTTGCAAACGGACCAATAATACTCATAAATTTGAGGGCTTTTTCTTGAGAGGTCAGGTAAGTTCAGACGGTGTTAAAGTTTTCAACGGTTGCATTGTTCTCTTTGTTTTTTTTGGTCGGCTTGCAAAAATACCAAAAATCCACTTCCGGAATCTGTTACGTTCGTCCACCCGAAGAAGAACATTCTACCTAATCTTTAGTCAATCAAGAAAGAACGGCCTTTTTACTGTTTTTACCGATCAGACGACCGAAAAGGAGCTAATGGGATTGCATCAGTCCGTGGTAAGTTCAAACTCCAGAATTCGAGTTATCGGGGTAAACATTGATCGACGGAAAACGAAGTTAAGTTTTTATTTAGCGGGGATTTCGAGTAACCAGATTAAAGAGAACTTTATTGTATCATTTTTGATTTACCATAACACGTACAGTAACAAGTCATAACTCTGCTTTACATTTAAATTAAATTATACTGGCCAGGGATCTCAGCAAGCTCTCTTAAGCTTTTCCAGGAACATCCCCTAAATGTACGTAACTGTTTACAGATAACAGTTGGGTTTTTATCACATTTAGTAAAAAATAGGTAGAACAAATCCAAGTAAAAATGACTGAAAAGGGGGTCAAACCCAGTGGCAGATCCAGGGGAGGGGCCAGGGGGGTCTGGCCCCCCCGTGTTTTTAGACCAAACTGATGCCCGAAGGGCCGAAAAAAAGTTTTTTTTAACCGCCCCCTCCCCCCCCCCGCCCCCTTATGTCACGGTCTGGATGATAGGGGCCCTCGCTTTATCTGAAGGTCTGGATCCACCGCTAAAATCATGGGAAGTAGGACTTAAGTGCGAGTTAGTGGGGGAGTTCGAGTTACCGGGATTCTGCTGTAGTAAAGCCTGGGCTCACTGAAAAATATCAGATCAGACGTTTTTCTAAGATCGCCTGGTTTCGGCTCCTGAAATAACTGAAAGCGTCTACCTCCCTCCATTCTTGCTTCCCGTTTTTGAGTCCGATTTTGAAGGTATTATTGCAATATATTCCCTGTAATCTTGTGTTTTTAGGTTTCAATTTTCCAGGGAGAACTATAAAACCATGCGAAATGACACGGTCCGTACCGAAGATCCTGAACGTTATACAGCCAATCAGAGTGTTCCTTTAGGCCCTTTGCAGCTAATCATTCCAGTGTTACAAAAACGCCATACTGGAAGGTAAGGAAAGGAATGGCCATTTTATGATGTAAGTCTTTTTGCCTTAAATTCATCTCAGTGAATGATTAGCTGCAAAGGGCTTTTTTGCCTTGAGAATTCAGTTAATAAAAGCATCATTGCCATATAATTAACAATTATTGAATGAGGGTGAGTATCATCTGAAGAATTATAGAGATCGAGGAATACCGCCTTGGCAAATAACACCCTCCGAGATTTCCATAATTCTTCAGGCGATTCGAAAACCGAGTCAACAATTGTTGTATTATTCATTCATAATTATTTCTAAGCTTTCCTAGTTTAGAAACAAGCTAAGACATGCTTGCCTCCGTCGATATTAAGTTCATCTACGATAGTGTATGTTTATCGGCAATTAAGTTTAGGAGATAAAGGATTATTCAGGTCTGCGAATATACTCCAAATAGCAGATGTCGTCCGTCGAGTTGTCTTCTTGCTGTTCTTGCTATGTTGTTAGACAATAGTTCGCGTTTTTCTTACCCTTGAAACGAGTGAAAAGTTGCCCCATTTCCAAACAAACCAAACAAACTTCTTCTCGGTTAACGGTTCAATAATCTGGCATAATCATTTGACCTTATTTTCACATATCGCAAAATTCTTCCATATTTGGTCGACAATAGCTGATTGTGATGAATTATGCGTGGGATTTTCGCCAATCAGAAACGGAAAAATCTTTTGAATGTATAATAATTATAGTGGTTATTATAGAAAGACCATTAGAGAAGTTATGGGGCGGGCGAAGTACAAAATATGTTCATGCAAGGGAAAATTAACTGAAGAAATATGCGTACATCGTATCGATTATATCACAGCAGAAAATAGAACGATTAAGGGTTAGCTCTAGGTATCAACTGGTTTGATTTTCAGCTCAGCTCGTTTGGCGGAGTAATTGTTGCCCTTCCAATAATACCAGTTGACGCCTTGCCATTCGTTAGAGTGCTGCCCGTGGAGATAGAGACCATTCAAGTGTGAAAAGTGGCAGCTTTTAAACCACCAGGCTCCCTTGTACATTATGGCACAGTTGCTGGAGTTAGGGTCGTTGTCACAATCTTTGGTGGTAAAAGCCATGCCACGATGATATGAAAGCGAGTCACCGGCAGTACCTAAAGAAAAAATATTCCATTGATGAAGTATTACAAGCAGAGACACTTCGATTATTTCATTTCTAGCTAGAACTGTTCGTAAACAGCTACCCCACAACTTCACCACAAACTGCAGTATATAAAACAAGCTCTTGTTAAATGGATTTTTTGATAAACGTCACGTTTCTTATGCTGCTTAATATGCATCAGTTCCTGGGGATGAAAGTAACGTTTACAAGGGTTTATTTGCCAAGGGCAATTAACAATAAGAACGACACAAAACCAGAAATTATACGAAACGCTTATTTCAAACTATGGTAGTTCGGGAAAGTATTTTCATGATTAACATATCGACAAGAATTGCCCATGGTCTGTAGGTCTTTACTCTTATATCCAACCACAGAAAGGACACAAGAATGTTCAAAACTCCAATGGAAATAACGTTTTGCACATTTTGTCGTCGACGTCATTTCTATGGGCCATAAGAATAAAGAACACGGAAAATTGTTGCCGTTTCGTTTTTGCCGAAAACACTGATAGTTTTGTATGTCCATTTCCATTGAAGTCTCTCCGCGGAAAGTCAAGCGCGCGAATTGAAACAAAAACGATGATATGTCTTGTTAAAACCACATGCCCCTGCGGTCGGGTTCCAGGGCTACCCAACAGTGGGGATCTGCATTACGATCAGCTTAAGCAAAAACGTTTTTAAGTAGCACACGTCAACCCAAAGTGGACTTTTTTGAGTTCTTGTTCAGTGGTTTTGCCCAAATGTTCCGGCAAGGCGTCCTTGTAAGAAGAGTAAAGACACTTACACTTTTGCAATACAAAGTTGGTAACGTGAAGGTAATTCTTCGTCAAGGCATACAAAAAAGGACAAGGCTTCTATTCCGGTTGACGTGTGTCGCTAAAAAACGTTTTTGCTCAACCTCCCTCATGTTTTCTACGGGGAGGCTCCGCCCCGAGGTCCAACCCCTTACCCTTTTAAATAATTCATATGACAGAAAAGGAACCTCGTTCGTATACATTCCATTGAAAAATGGAACTCCTTTAACAAACCTACTTAATAAGAATAATCGCTGTATTTACTTCTCTCACTTGCAACAACAAAAAATCGTATTCAGAATAAGACGTTTTTTCCTTGCCTTGGACCACGTGGCCCGAAACGCTTTGGTCGCGCGGCATAATGAGGCCCGGGGCTAGGCAAGCTTTTTTCCTATAGTGTGGCAAGTAATTCACTACCATGAATTACTTGCCTTTCCGTGTCCTCAAGAGGTGTTGATTGGATTACAGGTAGTTGTGATTTTTTTTTTCTAATTTATGTTTTTATTAATGTGCTACGCTTCTTGTAAGATTCACCTTAAAAAAACTTACCTGAATATGTTCCAAGACTCAGCTTGTATTTACTTCTCTCACTTGCAACACCAAAAAAGTCGTATTCAGCGTAAGCTGTTTTTCCAGTCGTGTCTTCAAGATCCACATGAAGCTTGCTACGCTCTTTTGTAAGGCGATGAATCTTGTCCAGTCCGAGCCAAAACTCACCATTCAGATTTCCAAAGCCTCGTTTGTAGTCATCCCAGCCGCGGTAGAAATCAACTGAGCCGTCCAGTCTCTTTTGGAACACTGTCCACCCCCCACCGGCTGTCGATTGGTCACAATACACGTCGAAGGCACCTGTGTTATCGGGGTTAATTGTATAGACACCGCTGTTCCGTTTACCAGCTTTGTAGAGTTCAGCACAGTTCTTGTAAACTGCTAAGGATGAAATTATTATTTGTATCACTTTTTACAAGACAAGCTATCAACTGTTCTTTTAATCATGAGAACCACAGGCTTTTGCGTCGTTCTCTTCTTATTCTTTATCCTTGGAAAAAATCATACCCCCATCGTGGTACAAGGGAGGGGGGGAGTGGATAGAACGCCTCCCGGGGGTTTTTGATATGTAGCAGTATTTCAAAACGATTTTACCTTTAGTGGAAAGCTTTTGATCTGATTAAAAAGATAAGGTATATTTAAGGGGTGGTGGCGCTGCTGGAGGCCAGCGACGTTACCAACAATGGTCGCCATCTTGGATTTTACCAAGAATTATAAATCAGGTTAAAACTGCAAGAAATGGTAAATTCTTGTGCTTTACATGAAAAGTAACACATAAATAAGCACTTTGCATTAGTTTAGCCACAAGATTTACTTTTATTGTTGAAAGGAGTTGAAAAAACATGTATTTTCACCCAAATTCGGCTTGACCACCTGTTACTTATGACGTCATATCTCGTAACGATGGCAAAAGACCATCACTAAACTTGTCTCAAAGTGTGCGCGAGGGAGGAACGAACAGCTACTGAAAACGTCAGGTGCTGATGTTTTATTCTCTAGGGAAAAAAAACTCAGAAAAGCCTTATGAGGATACACGGCCCTCCCACCCCCACCCGCCCCTGCTTGTAGTTTTCGCTATTTGTTGACGTTTGTCAGCGTTTAAGAGTCAATCTCACGAAAAAAGCATTTTCTTAAAAATTCGTGGTTTTTTTTCCTTCAAATTTTTTCAGGGCCACAATTGATTAACTAACAACCCGGACTCTGAATTTCATGGTCATTGAAAAACTGGGACATTATCTTCTATAAGCCCAAACGTGAGTAAACATTGAAGATTTTTAGCGTTTTGGCTGAGTTTGTGCTTTGGGAGTTGTCTATTGTTTCTA